ACAGGAATCTCCAAGCTACAGAACAAGTCCTTTATAAAAAAGTCCTTAAGACACACCGTGTGCACGATCACCGCTACGACCCCACCGGTAACACACCCTGCGGTCACAGGCGGGGGCACAGACACGGCTGCTGAGCCGAGCGAGGCACCCCAGAGCCTGCCCTGGCCCTGCCCCTGCATTCCAGCCTTTCAGGGCTCGCACATCCCCGAGTTTAGGGATGCCAAGCGCTGCCTGGCCAGCCTGACCCGGGACCAGTCACAGGAAGGCAGCGGTGGCGCAGGATGAGCAACCAAGCCCGCGTGTGCCCGGGCAGGGGCAGAGGGAAGGGCTGTACCCCTTGTGAGGGACTCAGGCCCTCCCCTCACCCGACAGCTCCTCCCGCCTGAGAATCACAGAATATCCCGAGTTGGAAGGGACCCAAAGGACCATCGAAGTCCAACTCCTGGCCCTGCACAGGTCACCCCAACAAGCCCACTCTGTGCCTCACAGCGTTGTCCAAACATTCCCTGAGCTCTGGCAGCCTTGGGGCCGTGACCACTGCCCTGGGGAGCCTGTTCAGTGCCCCACCACCCTCTGCTGGGCACCAACCTCCCACAGAGCCCTGAAACAGCGGAGCCGTCCCTCTCCTCCCCTTCCCCAGCCCGGCACGGAGGTCCCTCTCTGGGCCCCCTCAGCACCGCTCCGGGGGGGCAGGACGCGGCCGCAGCTCTGCCCCGCGCGGCCTAGCGCGCCATGACTCAGCCCGTCCGCCGCGCCGGGCTCGCCTCCCGCCTCACCTGCGCCAGCCGCTCGCACTCGGGCAGGCGCTGGTCCACGGTGGCGCTGTAATCCACCTCCATCTTGACGATGCGGCCGTCGGCCCGCTCCGCGCCGCCCTCCGCCATGGCCGCGCTCCGCCGCCTCAGCGCCCACCGGAACCGGCCGGGCCCGCGCGCAGGCGCGCCGGGGGCAGCCCCAACAAGGGCCCCGCGCCGCGCCAGGCAGGCGCTGCCGAGGACACCCCCGGGCGCACCAGGACCCGCGGAGGGGGAGGAGCCACAGCTGAGGGGGCGGAGCCACAGCTGAGGGAACCGCCCCTCACGAGCCTGTGGGGGATCGGAGACCCCCTGAGGGGACCTGAGACCCCCTGAGGGAATCCGAGACCTCCCGAGCCCCTGAGGGGATCGGAGACCCCCCCAACCCTCTGAAGGGACACGGATCGCCACCCACCTCTGAGGGGATCTGAGATCCACCCGAGCCGATCTAAAACCCCCTACTCTCTGAGGGAATCTGCCCCTATAAGCACTCCCCTCTGAGGGGATTCCCCGCTCAATCCACCCCTCTGAGGGGATCTGAAACCCCCCGCACCCGTCTGTGAGATGTTGAAGCCATGCCTGTGCAGGTAGGTTGCCATCAGCTCCCAACGCACTGTCACACACTACAGAAGTTTCATTCCCTGAAGAAATTCAGAAAAACTCCCTCGTGTTTGCAAGCAAACAACTCAGAAAGAAACACTGAGCAGTGAATGCCCTGAATCAGAATCACAGAAAGGGTTGGGTTGGAAGGGACCTTAAAATCATCTTGTTCCGACCCCCTACCATGGGAATCTTTGGATGTTATTTAAGATTCCCAGAAAGAATAAGTTACCACAAAATTACATTTTGCATTGTGTTACTTTGAGACTATGCTGCACATGGACCAATACAATGTGCCAAAGGGGTGTTTGACATAACTGTTTTGAATCTTTAGTTGACAGAATTAAGACTGAGTTCCTACATCTGCTGAACTGTTGTAAATTCAGAGTAATTCAATTAAATGGATTCAGAGCTCTAATATTGTATTTTGCAACTGTGTCTGATGCATGCCTTCCAATTAGCACAGCACAGACCGTGGGCCATGAATCACTTTCTGTTTGAACTCAAACTTGATTTTAAAAGTCCCCTAACACAATTTATCCATTATCTTTAATCATTGTTAGCTGATTTTAATTGACCTAAGTACTGAAAATACATGCACGTGTCACTCGGAGTGTATCAGTTGTTCTTTCTTAACTGGCCATTTACAAATTTTTACAGAGCTTTTGATTTTTAAAATCTCATTCCTTTAGCTCACTGTAATATTAGTATAATTTTACAGCTCACGGATTGTGAGCTATGCCTTCCAGGGAAGTTGAAAGTCACACACTAATCTAATTGAGCGTAGTCCCATACACTGTAATTTGGTTCAGACAGCGAGTGAAAGAGGAAGAGAATGAATCCATACTGCAACTGTTGTTTTCCTTTACCTATATGGGTTTGCTGGGGGACAAGGAGGCAGCTTTTGCCTCCAATGCAGACTTCCTGGACGGCTAAAAAATCCTCTAAATTTTTATTCAAAAGTCCTTAGCAAAACACGCAAAAAACAGCTCGGCTTTTGCTGTCTCTTATTCTGAAGCAACACTTTGCTGACACGAGTCCATCTGGAGTTCATACTCAGCATGATTTAACATATGGGCTTTTTCCCCTCAGGGCAGAAATGAAAGATGAGTGAAAAATGTCTCATTTTCACAACTGAGCGTAGAGAGGGTGTTAAGAGTAGTAATTTCTGCCAGTTCGTGGAAATCAAAGACCCAAAATTGAGGCAGGCACTGCCTGGCCAGTGGGAGCTGGAAGTTTTCTGTCTTAGCATATCTCCTGGGAAATGGTGCATGTAGAGAGGCTGGGGACAGTCATCACAGTGGGGAGTGGTAAGGGACATCCTTAGGTCACTGCTTTTATCCAATGTGCATGTGCAGCCAGCACAAGACTGAGCTGTGCCTCTGGCAGTAAGTTTGGGGTGACTGCAGGTATAGGAAGTAGTTTTGTTTTCCTTTTTAAGCAGCTTCTGGATTTGATACACTGCTTTCCACAGATCTGCAGACTTTGTTATTGTACACAGAGCTATAAGGTTTGGTTTACGTTGAAAGCACGTAATAGGTGATAAACTGGTTTAAGTCTTTCTCAAGGTTTTATTGAAATCAGTGTCCCTGCCTGTAACTGGGTAGCATCAAGGCCCCATGTAAAGAAGTTCAGGTTTTTATGCTGCTTTTCAGCAGAAACACAGAAATATTGTTCCCAATGTATGAAGCCACCAGCAAATCACTTAAAACTGAAGTGGGTGTTTTAGATCTGAATTTGGATTAACTCTCCTCTCTGGGTAATATCACAGAATCACACAATCGTTAAGGTTGTAAAAGACCTTTGAGATCATCAAGTCCAACTGTCAACCCAGCAGCACCACAATGTCCTCAAGTGCCACATCCACACACTTTTTTAACGCTTCCAGGGATGGTGACTCCCCCACTTCCCTGGACAGCTTGTTCCACTGCTGTGAAGAGATTTTTCCCAGTGTCCAATCTAAACCTCCCCTGGCAGCCTGAGGCCATTTCCTCTCATCCTGGCCCTTGTTCCCTGGGAGCAGAGCCTGACCCTCACGTGGCCACAGCCTCCTGTCAGGGAGGTATAGAGAGTGAGAAGGTTCCCCCTGAGCCTCCTTTTCTCCAGGCTGAACCCTGCCAGCTCCTCACAAGACTTGTGCTCCAGACCTTTTCCCAGCTCCATTCCTTTCTCTGGACTCACTCCAGCAGCTCGACGTCCTTCTCGCAGTGAGAATCACAAGGTATTGCCTTGTCTTGGCTATTTTGCCTGGAATTTCAGGAACATACAGTACCAACATTATCAATTATAGCCACAGTTTCCATATTTATAAATGGCTGTGTCACATTTGAGACAGAAGTCTCATTAAACACATTGTTCATACCTCAGTTGAAAATGCAGACTGTTAATAGAGCTCCCAGATTTTTTATTTCTTTGTGTAGGTGTTTGCACTTCCCTGGGAAAGCAGGGATGTGAAATATTGTGCCATTATTGCAAGGGGCTGGCAAAGCGACATAGTTGGCTCCAGGAGATGGCACTGTGTCCTCTGGGCTAAGAATTATACCCACAGCTCCGAAATGTACATCCAGAACCAGTAAAATTCTGAGGGGTTTTTGCTCTTTCTTGTTATGAAACACACATTTCACTGTAGACATAAATTCATCTTTAGCTGTCCCAAATACGGCATTTCATCACTTTTTTTTTTTTTTTGCAAATAATTGATACATAAATGCAGATGGATATTTTACCACTATCTGTGCAGTGCCTTGTATTTTCCTCTTACTGTCACAGCGCTTCTCTGCAATCCAGAGAATGGCTTTAGAGCCACTGGGAGCACAGGAGAAACAGCAGGATGAGCATTTTAAGCATAAAATGCTGAGGTTGTGTAACAGTTCGGGGTTCTCAGCTAGTTTCAGAATTAGGTTCCAGTGCATTTCAAGTGTAACTTAATGACAGGTAAATGTCTCTGAAAAACACAACCCCCAAGCACATTAAAAGCCGATTTCAACAACAAATTGACACTAACGGAGGGGGGGAGCCCTCCTGAAACGGCTCTGGCTTTATTGTCCAACTGGGAAGGAGGCGCTTTCTCACTGAACTTTCTGCGTGGCATCTAAAAGTAAAAAACCCGATACCGAAAAAAAAAAAAAGGGCGGTTTTATTTGTGCTGCAAAATGTGCTGGCTGATAACGAAAGGGCTGACCAGAAGGGAAATGGGTGAGGCCTCCACATCCTGTGCTGTGTCCGCACCGAGCGCACGCTTGTCCTTTCCTTTGTACCGGGGGGCGGCTGCGAGCCCGGGGCTCACGGGGCGCAAACGCTTCGCAAGGTGCCTGGTCACACGCAGGGCAATAAACTTCCAAAACCCGACAGCTCCTCGCGGAAGAATAAACCAAAATCGCCGTTTCTCCGTGCTCGGCGCTGCCCGTTCCCCCTCCCGGGAGGCTCCGGCGGGCGCAGCGCGGAGCCCCCGCGGCCCGGCCCCGCTGAGCCCGCCCGGTCCCCCCCCCCTCCTTCGCTCCCTCCCTCCCTCCCTCCCTCCGTCCTTCCTGCCGCCCCGCTGATGTCAGCCCAGCCCCGCCGGGGCCGCCGCCGATACCGCCCGCCCGTGACCACCGCCCGCCCGCGGCTGCGCGGGGACCCGCGGCCGCCCGTCCGCCGCTGCCCCCCCGTGCCCCCGCCCCGAGCGCAGCGGGAGCCGCGGCGGCCGCAGCCGCGTTGCGGCGGGGAGGTGGGAGCCGCGCTTGGCAGCCGGGAGAGGGAACGTTATAAAAAGCCTTTGTCTCGGGACTCAGCATCGCATCTCTCTCCTGCCGCCCGACGTGCTGCCGGCGGGGGCGAGAGCCACATTTTCGGCTCGTTTGTTCTTTTCGCCGCCCCAGGCATGTCTTGACACAGCCGCGAGAGAGCCCGGCGTTTCCGTGCACTTCCGACGGATGTCTTCGGCTGGGGCGAGAGCGGTGGGGGTTTGAGACTTGGTAGCGTATCTGGGTGCGAGCGTCCGTGAGATTCCCATGATCGCGGTGTGAAGGAGGAAGGACGGGAAGAAAGAAGCGGTTGTGTTGGTTTCTCTTCTTGCTGGGTCAGCCTTCCTGGATGGTTGCACTACTGTCTTGTGGACACATTGTCAAGCGCGCACAGAGAAAGAGGCTTGATTATTTCCCCCCGTGTTTGGTTTTCGTCGTGATCTCTGTGCAGAAATCCGCACTTTTCTCCCAGTTCGCCGGTCCGCACTGAGCAGCAGGAATATGCTCATGAAGGAGTACCGGATCTGCATGCCTCTGACAGTTGAAGAGGTAAGATCCGCGCTCGTACCGGAGACGCTCTTCCTTACCCAGGGTTTTCTCTTGCCAGGCGTCTTGAGGTTGTATTTGTTTTACTGAATATTTCTTCTTCGTGTAATGAACTTAGTCGGAGATGATTGGTTAGAGAGGAATGTTTTTATTGGAAAATAAAGGAATCCTGCAGGAACGAAGGTAACTTAAGTGTATCAAAAGCACTGTGTCGTCAAAATATTGCTTATAAAGGTTTTCCAACTAGACTTTTCGGAGGAATCTTATGCATGTTTGCAAGGCATTGCTTTTGTGCTGAAATTTCTATCTGATAAAGCGTTTGTCCAAAACCCAGTTTCTAAATATATTTCACCTTTGCTTAAAATACCCTCGTAGCTGAACATGGCCTGAAACTCCCTCCTGCACAGGTAGGGAAAAGAGGCGATCATTTATTAGTAAAACTTTGTTGTCATTTAAAGAAACGACTGAAAGTCAAACTGCTCTTTGTCGAGTGCTCTCAACTCCGTGTTAGGACCATTGGTTTTATTTGTGTGCGGACAGTTTTCAGTAGGACCGTAACACCCCCACGGAGCACACGTGCTCTGGAGTTACTTGGGAAGTGTTTGCGGGTGCAGTAGGTGCCTAAAGGCCTGCTGGAATACGAAACAGAGGCGCTGTTTTATGGTTCGGTGCCCTGCAAGTGTGCAAAGATGCTGTTTTATGGAGCCACTTGTGGCGCGGACGGGGCTGAGCCCGCGCTGGGCGCGGATCTTGCGCTTGAGCTGCGCCCAAAGTTCCGCCTGTGCCGCCGGCGGCGCCGCCAGGGGGCGCCCTGGCCCAGGGTCCCTCAGGAGGGGCTTAATTCGCTAATTAATGGATAATTAACTCGCTAATTGAGTTACACGTTTGTTCTTTGAGTCCGTCCAGGACGGTGTTTTGCTGCACACTTTTATTTTCTGCAATATATGCGTGGAGGAGTCTTCAGGAGTACGGCAGGGTGGTCATTTCAATGGTCTTTTTGTCCGTGTCTTCAGTTCTGGCAAATTAAACAGTTTTCTGAAACTGAGGATTGGAACTGCCAAATATTTACTTCGGGCTGCTCAGGAAATTCCTTCTGCAGGGAGCAGGACCCAAAGCCACCACATACATATAGTTAAACAGGTATAGGTTTAATTCTAGCCCTTTTCCATCCAAGTTATATCGTATCCTGGCATTATTCTTTTGCATATTCTATTATGCAAATATAGAATATTTTGCATTATTCTACTATGCATATTGGATGGCATTATTCTTTTAATACATAATTTTCTTTGTTTATTGCATTACCCTACTGTAGACAACATTTTATCCAAGCCAGTTCCTGATGCCCTCAGACTACTACACTTAGTTAATGACAGTTCACTACATCATCAGAAGGGAGCAGATCTAATTTATTTTGAAACATTGTTATTAAACAAGACTTCCAGACGCAGAAAAGTTCAAAAATCTCCCCAAACAGGAACGGTCGATTCATGATGAGGCAGAAGAAAATGTTGGATGTCATTTTTTTTCTCTAGAATGTTATCAGAATTAGTACAGATACTCTATCTTGTAGTTTCTCTTATGTTGAATCATCCATTATTTAATCCAAGTGCTGCAGCTGAGATGCCTTAATGAGGAACCTAGAACATGTCTGATATTTAGCATCAATTTAATTACTAATTATAAAATGAACTGGGACAAAATTGTAAAATTAGCAGATATCTTATTTTTGTTACAGTATTTACATACTAAAAAAGTCCCACACTGTGTTTCTCGTAGTGGTTCATCCTTGTGACATTCCTACAGTCTTATGAAGTGGTGTTATCCTACTTTTATACCCTCAGTTGCACATTAACTGCCAACAACATGTGATGGTTTTTGCCACAAGGTGATGGGTTGGTTCAGTCAGCAGGAGAACATCCTGGGGCGATGCTCACCCTTCAAATACCAGGAGCACTTTGGACATCCTTTGGAAACTACCTTTCCCTCAAAGCCCACTGAGGTTCAGAGTGACTTTGCACCTTGCAGGAGGCAGTTTGGGCCTCTCAGAACCAATTTCCCAGGGGGCTGGGATGTTGGGCCCTGGTCTGCAGTGGCACTTGGGATCCTGACTCACATGGACACTGCTGGCACTTAAGCATCCAAGAAGGGTTTTTGAGGTTCTGTGTTTCAACAGGTATGGGAAAAATGCAGTTCTTATGCAACAGCCTGGCTCCCCCTTTTGTGCTGTTTTTCTTACTTAGACTTTACAATGCTGCTTTTCCATGGTTGATGCTCTGGCTTTTGGCCTGTGCACTTTAGACATAAATCCAAAAGTATCTCCTTGAGCAGTTTTCCTTTTTTAGCACTGCCCTGCCAGTTACCCTTCCACAGAAGTCTCACAGCGTGAATGAGAAAGAACTGTCTCTTTAGTCTGTGGTGGTGTGTTGTCACCAACACCACAGTGGTTCCCATGTCATTCCTGGGAGGATAATCTGGCACAGGGAGCAAAATGGAGTGTTAAGTCTGCCGGCCAAGCACCTGTACCCAATCTTCTGGAGTCGGATTTTGTGTGTAATGTGAAAAAATGTGCTGTAAAATGTTGTGTAATGTCCAGGCAAGTCATTACCTTGTGTGTAAATTCCTATGCACGCAGCAGGGAGCAGTTAGTGCTGCTCTGGATGACTGTTATGAACTAAATTTATCTCTAGAGAAGAGTAAAGAACTGATACATCAGTGTAACAGCAGCGCTGTCTCCAGGTTGGAAGAGTTTCTGGCATTGTTGTGGGTAGGAAAGCCTTCATGAGCTACTGTAGATCCTGTTCCTGAGTCGTGCTTTCCTTGATGCCCTTATTAGATAAGATACCCAAATATTTATAGGAGTTTTGTTTACCTACCTGTCAGCTTGAAGGCCAAATGCTTTCTTGCAAAGAAAACATTTCCTGAGAAACGCTGTTTGCTCCAAACTGAGCTGCTCTGGTGTATTTTGAGCTGGGATAGAGGAGCTGGACATGCATCTTTGTGTCTTGGCCATAAACACCAGGAAAGACAGGTTGTTCCAAGAGTCCTTGCTGGGATGCTGTGGCACCACACTACAGTTCTTATTTAAAGCTGAGCCTAAGTCAATAAACTGAATTTTCATTGGCAGCTGTTTAGGTCTGTTACATATGTATGGTCACAAGCTGCCTGATCAGCTTTAAAATAATTTAGGAAATTAAATTTAATTTCTAAGCAAAGTAATAACAACTGCTGTAAGAACTTTGTAAACTAGGTCAGAATAGAGCTGTTGGTTGACAAAGCCAATATGATTGCCAATTAGAAGTCATTCTTTACCTCATTCGTGGTACTTTTGGGAGGGACCCATGCAAATTCAATGCTTTTGTTAACACCAAGATCTTAAAAATTAGGAAAAAAAGCCGTTTCTTAGCATTAATATATAAAGCAAGTAAAATCTGTTCAGTAATTGCATAAGATATGTTACCAATCCTCATCCCAGCTGCAATTAATAAACGAGCCTGCCTCAGTTATTTTTCCCCTTGCATTTTCATGTGTTAGTTCATTCTTACAAATAGCTTGTTACATCATATGGGAGAATATTATAATAGGCTGCATTGTGGGTTTTTAAATATCATCAGTTAAAAAAGCACATTCCTAAGCAAGTGAAAAGAGCACCAAGCAATGGAAAAGAGCAGAGATGCTAAAAAATTCTCAGACTTGGGTCTCGTTGCAAATCACAATTCCACAATTTGTCACAGGAAAGATTACATGGCTTTGTGCTTTTGAGATGCCTTTATCTGAAAATGTAAACCAAATGTGACAGGTTAGCATGGTACTGAACTCTTTGGGGAGAGGCAAAGTCCAGTGAAGTTCCTGATTTGTGTGGAAACCGATTCTTCTTTAAGGGAAGAGGCCAAAAGACATTTTTGCTGGATCCTGTTGAAAATGGAGTTGTTACTGCTGTAAAATGCTGTGAAAGATGTGAAGCTGGGCTGTGTATGTTTGAAAGCTAAACATCAAATAAAGTACAGGAATCACAGGGTTCTTTCCTCGGAAACAGGGATGCCCATTAGCATTTCTGTTAGTTCTGAACTCTACGTGCACGGCCAATCCCTGAATTCCTAACAGGTTTTCCTTTGCTTTGTTTCTTTATTTCAACCAAGATTATCTCTGCTGAGCCTGGTGGAATTGCTCCCACTCTGTGCTTTAAATAAAAGCCAGGTTGGATCTGTGGGGAGCTCTGCCTGCATGAGGTGTGGAGGAACAGCTGTATTGTCATGAATACAAACAAGCAGAGACCTGCAAAATGTCCATAAATGGAGATCATGGTTTTTCAACAAAAAGTCCTCTCAGCATTCCCAAATTCTGGGTTTAGAAGTGTTATCCTTACCCCTTTATAAAAATACCCATCGTTTAGCTCTTGTTTCAAACATTATGAATTCTCCCAGTGTGGATTATTTACGTAAAATTATTTCAACAACATCTGTGTAAACAGTATTTGTATTCTCTGAATCTTGGGTACATTTCTTCTTTAACAGGTTTCATAGTCTTCTGTTTTGTGCACAGAGGGTACTTGTTATAACATGTTTTATTCAGACAGATTTCAAGCTCATTGAAAGCATTTGAGAAGGTGGTGTTATGCCCTGAGAGTCAGCAGGTGTTATGATATTTAGACATAACTATGTGTCTGTAGTACAACAAAGCCTTTAGTAGGGTATAAAGTGTAAAAAAATTTTTTTTCATAAGTACAGTGATCTACTGCAGGACAAACTACACCAACTTGTCCTCCAGTTAATACAGATAGAATAAATAATGATCAACTGTGTGTGCTGCTTTCATTTCCCAGCTGTAGCCACAGAACATGTTTTCAGAAGTACCTTAATGTATGAAACATTTGTAAAAGCAGTATGTTGGTTGTAAGCAAGAGGACTATAAGCAAACAGAAGGTGAAGTCAAGTTTTCAAATTTAATTCAGTTTATTACTTGTAAATGAAATAATAGCTGCACCCGGTAATGGCGAAAAAGTT